ACAAATATTAAACTTGTTTGCTATTTTTCAACGAAATTCCAACTATTTTATGATTAAGAGATAATTAGCTTCGTAATCTGCTTCTTTTTTTTTTCCCCTTCAGTTCAGTTATTACAACCCTGTACAAGTAGATAAAATAAGAACGTTGCTTACAGAACTATCTTAAGTAAACCTTTATCTTCATGTTTGAAACACTCAGTGAATCGTTACAACGAAAATAATCCGTATCTCTAACGATTCGTTGGTTTAATTAACAATGATGCTTAAAAATAGCTTTCAATCTGATGGCATTTTGTTTAAATTTCTTATTTGTATAAAAAAAAAAATTCGAATTTGGTGGCATTTTGTCTAAAAGGAATTAAGAAAAATATCTGTGTGAATTTACAATATTTTTTATTTATGTATTTTCCATGTTTCTGTTAAATTAACAGATTTCAGTCATACAGGCGTCTATTAATATCTTTTTTTAAAAAAAAAATTAGGTAAATTTAGATGTAAAATTATAATAAATAGAATCAAGTAGATAGAATCTTACAAGTATTTAATCTGACAAGTATTTTCCATGTTTCTGTTAAAATTTTCAAACATCTTTCAGTCATACAGACGTCTATTAACATCTTTTAAAAGAAAAAAAGAGGTAAATTTAAATGTAAAATTATAATAAATAGAATGCGTGATGTTCTCAACTGTGATAAAATATCATACTTTATAATAAAAACGCAGAGCAAAACACGAAAGCAGAAATTCAAAAATTAAAACAGCATACAATACCTCTTAATAGATTTCTAATCTGGGGAACCATTGAGAATTTATTTTATGGTGCTCTTAATCCAATTTTCAGTGGTCTGGACCAGCTGACTACCTTTAATTTCTAGCTAAGCTTTGGTTATATTCTTTCACTACCTTTTTTTTTCCCCGATTATTTTATTTTCCTTTTATGCTAACGCTAAAAATGGATAATCTCCAAACCAAAGTTTGATTCCTATCAAAATATAAGTAAAATTTATCACATTTGAAAGAACTTTCGCCTAGCACTCTTGAGAAAAATCAGAATCATTTTTTTTTTTAAAAAAAACAACACAAAATTGAATTTATCTCATTTAAATAGGTTTTTTTTTTACAATTACTAACCAAAACATATAATAAAATGTATTAATAATACTTAATATTTTCTAAAAACACTATTATAATTGAAATTTCTTACTAAAACGGTTAAAATTATTATTTAATTATTAAAAACAAATCAGTGAATAGATAAAAAAATAATGAAGTTTTTGAAGCTCAACTCGCTAATCAATGTTAAAGATTTTTTTTATTATTTCCAATGCCGAGGCAATACAAAAGAAACAACAACAAAGTAAGAAAAAGTACAATGAAGTCGAACATAAAAGTTGGCCGAAGTCATGAATGTTAAAGATTGGAAGACTAATTTGTTAATTAAATATCTAATGAAGAGTTAATTGGTCAGAGTCAGAAAACATAACTGAAAAAATATTATTTTAAGTTACTCTGGGTAGAACAAGTCTTGATGTACACAAACTACTTAGTTAATAAGTTTTAAAAACGCTGCATTTAAATAAGCATAAAAATGAATGGGCATCATTGAAATATGTTTTTATTTGCAAAATATTTTACATAAATTTAGTGAAACTATAATTTAAATGTTTCATGGCACTCTTATCCACACACACTCTCTCTCTCTCTCTCTCTTTTTTTTCCCCGTCTATTTTGAAATATAATAATTTACACGCTTATCACTTTCATTATTTCTAAGTATGAAACCTTAATTTATCAATAAATAAGATTTTTTTTTTTAAATCACACTTTAAAGAATGTTAACAAATAATGTTAATAAAGAATGTTAACAGAATATTGAACAAAATAAAATATATTTTGAACCTGAATTAATAATTTTTTTTCAAAAAAGAAAAAAATCGAGTTCGTTTAAATTAATGAGATTTAAAGAAATCACAGTTTATTTAAATCACAATTGTTTAAAGATTTTTTTTAAAAAAAAGAATAAGGTGATTTGAATCTCGATTTCAATCATGAATTAAATCAAGTGATTTTTAAGTTATACGCGAAAAATGTTCGGCGCTTACAGATGGTAATTGGAAGTGAAAATTTATATATAGGTTGGGAACACAACTGAACTAATGTGCCATCAACTCTCTTGAATTGGAATAATATTTATTTAAAATTGTTCCATCATTTTGAATAAAGTTCAATATTTAAATTGGGTGGTCTGTTCGTATTTTCCTATTTCCTGAATGTGTGCTTCGTCTTCTGTCACTGAAAACAAACAAATTTTTTAGAATAAACGTAAATGTCATTATGATTGCTTCTGTTTCAACGTGTGTTATCGTGTGCTCTTAATTTATATTTACCAAAAATAAAATAACCCCGAAGAGAAGAAAAGATATCGAGCGAATCTTGTTTTGACATACTTAGCCAACCAGCTCGAAATGCGCGCATCACTGCATTTGCAGAAGAAAGAATCGCTCTTGAATTGCCAGGCCATCGAATAAGAGAAAATTTGTACTATTTCAAGGTTGAGTCGACGAAGAAAATGAACTTCGCTGAGTAGTAAAACAAGTAAATAAATTGCTAGATCAAGTTGTGGAGCAAATATGATTCCAGAAATGTATGTTAATATATCTCTCATCCACCATTTTGATCCATGTCTTAAACAAGATTTTTAAACAAGTTCTGAAGCATTTTGCTAGATTCAGATCTTTTTAATTTCTGTAATTTTTTGTATTAATAGTGAGTCGTAAAGATTTTTACAAGCTTTGATTTTTCTTACAACTTTTAAATGTGTAATAATTTTGTGGTATAAAAATATAATTTTTATATGCCAGCTCGGTGGCCGAGTGGTTAGCGTGCCTGACTGCGAAGCCAATGGTTGCTGGTTCGAAACCCTCTCGGGGCATGGATGTTTCTCTATGTGTTGTCCTCTGGTGTGTGAATGTGGCCCACCCGATGAACGGGTACCTCAGAGATGCCAACTTTCTCCTGTGTATAAATATTTTCGAGTGGTAGTTTATTAATGTATGAAGCTTCGTTTAATAAATTCAATTTATTAGGTTTTTATACACCACTATTTCTAAATTATTCGAAGGCTTATATAATTCGCCACTTTGAATTAGCTCAGTCATGCTACGCCGTTTTAAAAGTAAGCAAAATTAGTCAACTATTTGCAAATTTTAGTTTGTTGTTATTTACCGTTTTTTGAATTATAATGGCGCGGTCGGAGCAGTTGGCATCTCTGGTAACTGTGTCAGTGAGGCGTGGGACATGTTGCTCGCCTCCCTGACTTTGGTTTACCGAGTAACGATAAATGATTAACACTTCCGGCATCTTCTGAGGCGAAGAACGAAAGTTCAGTACTTGCCGTTATTTAAAAAAAATTATAATTTATTATTTAAATTCACTATCTGCAATACCATAATTTCATAATCAACTAATTATTCGCATAGCTGCACATTTCTTTTTAGCTCTTTATTAATAAAACAATATTCAGGTACATTCGTCTACGGTTATACCCAAATAGTGCTCTGCAGAACTCGAGGATTCCGTGGAAGAGCTATTAAACGAGTTCTGCGAGTTAACTTATTTTATCAGTTCCCCCCCCCCCTCAATATTTTTCCAATGTGTTATTATAGTTAGACCCAATCAATAATCCACTATTTATGTAATATTTGGGTTGTTTTATGAAATTAGAGAAAAATGTTAATTAAAAAGAAAGGGCAATTTTTTTTTAAAAAAAAATATATATGTAATTTTTCTAATGTTTTGTATAAATTATGAAAAGGGTGTGCATTTATAAAAATTGCATCTGTATTTTAGCCTATTAAAGTTTTTATCGGATGCGCTTTTTATAACTCACACTAAGTTAATGGTAGGTTATTTTGCCATACTCAGTCAACGGACTGTGTGCTTGCAAAATCATACATTTTCGTGACTAGACTTGATTTTGACTTTGATTTTGTCCTCCGATGACATGGGTTCAAGATCAATCACAATTCCGATTCATATTTTATTACTTATTTATCCAATGCGATATCTTTCATTTGCCTGTCATTGATGTAAAAATTTCATGTTAGTCCAGTTTTTAGTTTTCCTCTTTTTTTGACACTCATAATTAGGAGTTGTCCATCTGTCACGAAATATGCGGTCTCTTTTGCCTTTTCTTTTACTTCCGTTTTTTTAAATTAACTATATTTAAATATACTTTTTGACAATATCCATTACTTCCATGAATGTTATTATATTGAAAATTGCACAGATTATTATGTGTGACCGCTGTTAATACGTTATATTTAATGTTGATATGTTTGAATAAATGCACTTTTCCGTTCTTGCATATATAATATAACTATCTCATTTTGTTTCATCTATAAGTATAACTAGGGTTCACGCCAGTAAGGCGACATATTTGGTTTCAGCATTCTAATCTCTATGTTGAATCTCTTTATTAACATTATGTTAGCTTTTTAACTCTTAATTTTGATAAATACTAATCTTTCATTGCTGGTGTGAACCCTAAGTATAACGGAAAGAACTTACTGTGAAACAATGACAAGCCACTTCTTTAAGTAATGTTAAAATGACATTTTTCCGTAGGTTTATTTATGCAGTCTAAAAATGAGTTCCCGGAAAAAATAATTAAATGTTATTTAATTATTTTTTGCGTTAAATAATTAAATGTTATACATTGTAAAAAAAATAATTAAAAAAAATATGAAATAAGTGATGTCTATGAATATTGGGAAACTATGATATAAACATGTTGAAAATGTTTTTATAAATACAATGAAACCTTGAAAATTAAAGCATTAACAACATGTGTACTGATTGTCGATTTTATTTTTTTCCCCACTTTAAATGTTTTTACAATAAGCTCTTTAATTTGCTCTGATTAAAGAAGCAAATATTAAGATTGTTTTTACATGTTTTGTTGTTTTGATTGCTTATGGATTGTTTTGTTTGTTTTTCAGTTCCATCATCACATCCCCCTGCAAGACCATGGATCAGTATGGCACAAAATGCCGACTCCCCTTGTAAGTTTCTTTTTTTCATTTCCTGTTATGGGTGTTGGTAGGGCATATGACAATACTAAAACTTACCTTTTGCGATGTGCCTTTTCTCAGCATCTAAACAATATATTACTTCAGTTTTTTTTTTTCCCACTGAATATTTACATATACATGTTTTTACTGTGATAAATGTTAATACATATCTTTTGGCAGAATTTTTTTTCAAAAATTAACGAACTACGAACTTTTAATTTTTTAATAAGTTTCATTATTTTTTGAGCAAAAATCTTTCATAACTTAAAATGTTTTCTTGTTAACGCTAAAATAATTTTACAGTATACAACTGATATAATCTCAAATATGCCCCAAAAATTTCAAAGCGATGTCGTAAGGAGTTTCTTATAAAAGGTACATCGAAAAAGGTCAGTTTTTGCATTATTGATGTTTGCCCTACAGAATTTTTTCATCGAAGAATTTGGTATGCTTAACAGATACTTGTCATTTATTGAAAGCATGCTCTTTTTTTTTTTTCTTCTTTTTTTTAGGCNAAAAAAAAAAAAAAATTATGAAATAAGTGATATCTATGAATATCGGGAAGCTATGATATAAACATGTTGAAAATGTTTTTATAAAAACAATAGAAACCTTGAAAATTAAAGTATTAACAACATGTGTACTGATTGCCGATTTTCTTTTTTCCCCACTTTAAATGTTTTCACAATAAGCTCTTTAATTTGCTTCGATTAAGGAAGCAAATATTAAGATTGTTTTTACATGTTTTGTTGTTTTGATTGCTTATGGATTGTTTTGTTTGTTTTTCAGTTCCATCATCACATCCCCCTGCAAGACCATGGATCAGTATGGCACAAAATGCCGACTCCCCTTGTAAGTTTCTTTTTTTTTTTTTTTTTTTTTTTTTTTTTTTTTTCCTTCTTCTATGGGTGTCGGTGGGACATATAACAATAATGCTAAAACTTACCTTTTGCGATGTACCTTTTCTCAGCATCTAAACAAGATATTGTCTCAGATTTTTTTTTCTCTGAATATTTACATATGAAAGTTTTCACTATGATAAATGTTAATACATATCTTCGGCAGAAATTTTTTTTCAAAAATTAACGAACTACGAACTTTTAATTTTTTAATAAGTTTCATTATTTTTTGAGCAAAAATCTTTCATAACTTAAAATGTTTTCTTGTTAACACTAAAATAATTTTACAGCATACAACTGATATAACCTCAAATATCCCCCAAAAATTCAAAAGTTTCTTATAAAAGGTGCATCGAAAAAGGTCAGTTTTTGCATTATTGATGTTTGCCCTACCGAATTTTTTCATCGAAGAATTTGGTATGTTTAACAGATACTTGTCATTTATTGAAAGCATGCTCTTTTTTTTTTTTCTTCTTTTTTTTGCGCAAAACTCAAATGAATGAAGTCATCAGAAGGTTGAATTATTTAAGATTATCCTTATACAAGTATTAAGGGGTCTCTACTTAAGATGAGATGGTATTTTATTGAAAAAAGTTTCGGGCTAGCTCGAATGATGTGATAAAATTAATAAAACTACTTGTAACCAAACGTTTGGTTCCTCTTTTAAGTATAAAAAATTTAAAATTTATATGATATAAAACTTACAGCCATCTACTTCTGTTCGGTGCTTTTGCTTTGTGAGGCTTGCACTAATTGTCAAATGAATTTATTAAGCTTAATATTTTAATTTTTGTTTAAGTCATCCTGGAATTTCAGTTGGTTCAGTTTTTTTTTTTTTCGCTTCTCTTTTCTCAGGATGGTAATAAAAACATTTTTAATTCACTAATTCCCTTGTTTAAACATCAAAGGCCGAATGACCAGATCGCAAAATTTTGTCTTTTATCTAGGGCGCAGGTTATCTTATGTTTCTCAAGCTTGGATTAAAATTCTTCGGGCTCGGACCTTCAAAAGCGAATTGGAGCTCATCTCTGGCCTCTAGCCTCGCTATCTTGAATTTTAGGTTAAATTTTTAATTTGCAATTTTTTACTTGTGATGATATTGCATTATTAGCCAACACAATATCTTTCAAAAAAAAAAAAAAAAGATAGAAAGTAAATAGATTGCGTTTTTGGATAAAGAGATATAACGCTTGATAATTTTTATAATTTTAATGAATTTTTCCTCAATATATTCCTGCTTTGATTCACCCTTTTTATCTTAATCTTTTAATTTGTTTGCTGATTCTACTAAATGTGTGTGTACTGATATTAAATATTTTATTCTATATGTATGTGAATAGTAGCTGTAACAAAGTGTAAACTTGCTTTTCTATTTGCTATAAATTACAATTCCAGACAGACATATCATTGACAGACATTCAGAACTTTTTCAGAGATATTACAAATCTTTCTAAGATATTTCAAGAACATGTAAATATTTCTGATATGCTAACCTTAAAACTTAAAATTTGCTAACTAGATTAAATCGAAAACATTTCACTGAATAAAATGAAGCAAGAAAATATTTTAAAATAATAATTTATTGCTTAATAAATTAAGAAATCATGTTCATATAATTCTCCTTAAGTTAGTATGGAGTAACCACAATTCTTTTTCTGTTTGAAAATTACCCATAAGTATACTATTGAAAGAAAGTAGCTTAGAAAGAGATATTTTAGACTGACCTGACACTTGAGCACAATCAGCTTATCAATGCAAACTAGATATAAAAAATGTGTCATTTATTTTTATCTTTTATTATAGAAATTTGCTTATTTATCAATTTTGTTGAATCAAAAAAACTGTACAATTTTTTATTTTCCAGGTTTGTTCACAGTCATGTGTTACAATATTCTCTGTGATAAATATGCTACTCGGCAAATGTATGGGTATTGCCCAAATTGGGCGTTAGATTGGACCTATAGAAAAAAACACATTCTCTCTGAAATTATTCATTATAAAGCTGATATCATTTCTCTTCAGGTATTTCCCATTGATATCTTATTAACTAACCATACGAATCATAAATGTGTTCCATTATACATTTATTTTTCTCATGTTTATTACAGCTTTGTTAAAAACATTCACAGCATGCAATCATAGTATGAAAGAGATATTTTGTCAACAATATTTTTAAATTCACTTTTATTTTTAAGTTTCAGCAGTTATTCAAATAAGTCAGTTACTGTTATCACATTCACAATATTACATATTATGCTGTATGTTACATTCAGAACATGCATTTATAATGTAATCACCTATATTATTTACAATACTGTATATTACTTTCGCAACATGCATTCATAATCATAGTGTAAAATCAATATTTTATAACCAGTTTTTTTGAAATTTGCTTTTAAGTTTCAGCAGTTCTTCAAATTTTAAAATTGTGCTATTTTATTTATTCTAAAATCGTGCTGAATCTAATTTAGGCATTTTCTGTAAAATTGTACATGATTTGTTCTGAATGATTAATACATTTTGTTTTAAAACATGGATAAACGGTTTTTATAGTTACTATAATTTTGTATTATTCATATTGTTAAGCTGCAATAAAAAGTTAATTTCTAACTGTGCAAATTTGCTGCTCAACTTTATTCCTAACATAAAATCATGTGAATGCGTAATCAGTTAACAATTTTTTTTTATCTTGTTACAGTTTTTAGAAAATACTAGTTCTAATGAAAGCAGTCATTTTTTTAATTTTAGCCGGTTCTTTTTAAGTGATTTAAGCCCAAAATATTTTACTTACTTTTTTTTTTTGGCATGACTAAAATCCTACAACCCTAGGAAAAAATAGATTAGTGACTATGGGATAGCATTGTTAAAAATATAAGTTAGTTCAACATAAATATAGCAAAGAACAATATCAACTTAAATGAACTATTAAGTTTGGTTTGGTTGGTTGGAAATTTTGCATCTTTTTGGTGTCACAGTGTTTTCAGAAATGTTTGTTTACCTTTAATATCTGATGAATTTTATAGTATTATTTACTTATATAAAACTGAGCTATTTTAAAATCGGTCCTTATTTTTAACAAGTTTTATTTTATGGCTGGCTTTTGTATTAATAATTGATTTATTTCAGGAGGTTGAAACAGAACAGTTCTATAAATATTTCTTACCTGAACTCAAGAAGGAAGGATACGATGGAATTTTCTCACCCAAATCTCGTGCAAAAACCATGTCTGAAATTGATAGGAAACATGTTGACGGATGCGCAATTTTTTACAAAACTCAAAAGTATGTATATTTTGAGTTTAATTAATTTGATTGAATGGTCTCATTTATTTAAGTTAATGTAACTTGCAAAACAAATTTTTAATAACTATAAATATGTACTTTTGAGAGTAATGTCAACATACAGATTAAAATTTTAACTTTTTTTTTCTAACCAAAGATGTTAAATGTTTTTTTTTTTATGACATTAAGTTAAATTAGAAACTCATTCACTCTCTAAAAAGTTAGACTTAGAGAGCTTAGGAAACCAGTGAAAATTTTCAATTTCATATATAAATTTGAAATATACAATGTCATTTTTATGTAAATGAACATTTGTATCTAATTTTGTGCATTTAAAATGAAAAAATTACTTTTTGACCTCATTATTCAGACATTCTTTTATAAGAACATTTCATTAATTGTAAACAACTTTTTGAGTTTTCGCAATATTCAAGCTAAATTTTTTTTTATAAGTTTCTAATATCATTAGCTATGAAAGCTGGAAGCTTAGGATTTGATAATCCTTAAAAGAAGTACTGCATGTAGTGTCTATGCAACAAGGGGCACTGAGTAATTTAACTAAAGTTAGACAGGGTTCCTATTGTTGTGATGTGGAAAGCTTTATCAGGATCAGTGAAGTTGACAACCTATTCAAATTATGTTGTATTCTTACATACAAATTTTAAAATAAAAAGCCCTGAAACGACTCTGATTGTGTGTGTTAAATTTTCCAAATGTATAATCTTATTGTAATATTTATATGTATGTAACTAGCTTTGTCTTTTTCTTCATTCCATATTGTAGATTTATGATTTTTATACCCACTCTTTTATTAATTTCTGGTGCTACATTTAGTAAATAAATAATTAAAAAAAACCTCTTTAAAATCTTTTTATCATTTAAAATCTTTTTTTACTGTTTAATTACAATTGATATATTTAGATTTTTTTTAAATAAATTTGTGTAATTTCCTCACCCTTTTAGTTTTTTATTATAAATTCATTTTGTAGATTAAATTATTCAAAATTGGGGGTATTTTTTTTTAACTTGGTTACCTTCCTGCAACAAAAATTAGCTTTTTTTAATAACCAAGCAATTCGTATTGGAAAAATTATGTATAGATTTATCTACAATCTTCTCTTTAGAAGATTAAAAACTACTGCTATATTAAAACATTCAATCGATCACAATTTTTTTACTCATATTCTTCTATATAAAATAAAATAATTAAAAAAAATTCTGTATTATTTATGTGATAATATCGTGCGTGATTTTACTTTGAACAAAAAAATAGTTTAAGTTTTTTGTTTTCGCGTTTCTGAGCTGTCATCACTTAGCATGCCTGCATTCTAATCATATATCAATAATCAATCAGTTGTCAATTGCAACCAATGAGATTAGGATAGAGTTTCTCACTAACAACTTTTCATTGGAAATAAAAAAGAAACTTCTAGGTTGTTGTCACTAATAACCACAATAATATAGTAGTTGATTGATTGATAGTAGGCAAGTGATCTAATTCATCCTTTAGAGTTAGACAACTGCAGTCGGATCTCTATTTAAAGAAGTTGCCAAATTCCGATAACAAGTTCAATGAAAAATTCGTTAAGTAGAAAATCATCTTTTTAAACACTTAAGCAACACAAAACCGGTTTTAAATTCCTAAACACCAGATATAATTTAAATAGCGTTTGATACATCTTTATGTTGTAAACTAGTATAATCTATATTATAAATCTTAATCATAAGGACAGGCAAGCAAGAATAGAGCAAAGCATTATCCAGTGTTTCACTATCATGCTCCAAATAAAAGAAAAAAGCTAAATATATGTATGAAATTATGGCTGCATTTATTGTATAAGTAATTTTAAACATACATTACCTCATGTGTTCTTAAGTTTAATTGCTACTGATAAAATCTGTTAATTTTGTCTGAGTTTTTGGTTTGAAATGCAAACAAGGAAGAAAAGGGATTTTACTGCTTTCTCTGAAAATTAAGTGGCTTCGAAAATCAATTCAAGGTCATTTCCTCCATAAAATGTGTTTATAAGTTTGAAATGTTCTGAAATACTTAGGGAAATGGAAAAAGTAGATCTCAAAAAAAAAAAGTTTGCTAAATAGAAAATGTACTTCACTATTTGGAAGTTATTTTACGAAGAAATTTCCAAAATGTTCTTGATTTCTAGAAAAAAATCGCAAAATAGACTAATTCGCAAGATGGAAGTTCCTTAAATAGAAGTCTGACTGTATATATTTTCTGGCAAAGCATATTTGATATTTTTTATTTATTTATTTTAAATCATTGTTAATTTTTCAATAAAAAAATTATGCATCATTTTTCACCTCACCTTTAAAAGCAATCCAGCTTTATGAATTTTTTTCTTTGAATAAGTAATCAATCACATGATCCCAAAGTTTTTCCAATTTTGTCCTACATCAATTTTTTAATTTATAAACAAGGGTTTTCATTGATTTACTTGAATCCATTTTTGAAATAAATCATAACATAATGTTTAAAATATAAATTAGAAAAATCATAAGTTAGAAACAATTTTCATAACTCCTACTTTTTTTATACATTAAAGTGATTAAATTGTCTCGTAATCTTTTATTTATGAATCTATTACAATTTGTTTTCAGAATTCTGTTTAATACTTAAAAATAAGGAAAAAGATACAGTAATATAGTTATACAGTGCAGAACCTCTAATCCGGAAATCGGAAAACCAGATAACCGGAATGAAATTCGGAACCGTAAATTAATTTTCTTCAATTAAAAAATTTTTTTTCCTGCAAGATTCTGAGCCAATTTTGTTATTTAGAGCGTATGGCGTATCGAGTTGACAAAAGAACTGATTTAAAGGACGGATCAAAAGCCGTTTGTAGACGAATCTCACATAAGCACAAATAGCTTATATATGTTATTAATGTTAATAATAACGTTAATAACATATATAAGCCTCTATATAATTTTCATTTCATAATTTCTTTCCTTATTTAAACTTAAGTGTATTATTTATCATTTTTTATTATTTTTAAAACTATTTCAAAATAATTTTTTAGTTTAGTTTCATAAACATTAAAAAAACGGCACTTTGTAGCGATTCAGAAAACCGGAAAAATCAGTTATCCGGAATCGCGATGGTCCCGATCGTTCTGGATAATCGTTTCTCTACTGTATTTTAAAATATAATATTATTATATTAATGTATCATTTACAGTAAAATATTATTTATCAAGCAAAACTATTATTAAATTTATTTATTTTTTACATTTCTTTGTAGATGGTTATCTTAATTTTGTTTTGCGCTTTTTATAGATTTACCTTGGTTAGAGAACATCTAATGGAATTCAATCAATTAGCGATGGCAAACGCTGAGGGCTGTGACGATATGCTGAATAGAGTTATGACAAAAGACAACATTGGATTAGCTGCACTTCTTCAAACAAAAATTGGAGCCTATCAAAATGGTAATTTTTATTTATCTTTGTTTGTTTTTTATAAGAGATTTTAGTTATTTCAGATTTTTAAAAGAATAAAACAAGTCTTCAAAATTAAAAAATTATGAATTTAAAATACTCTTTATCATTTTTGTAATTTACATATATTTAAGTAAATTTGTATGATTGTAATAAATGCCCGTGCTATTATTTTTTATTGCCTGCTTAGCTCATGAAGTTACAAAGCTTCAAACTGTTATTTTTCAAACACTTTGTGCTATAAGCACATAAAATTCATTGAAAGTATTTTTTTCTATGAAATTGTGATGTGGTGAAAAAATTTTATATATGCAAAAATATGAATTAAACCTCTTTTATTGTATTAATAGTGAAATATGTATGAAAAGTATTCATAATGGTTGTCCTTAGCATAGATTTTTAAAAATAAAGAAAAAAATGTATGTACATTAAAGATTCCGTAAATTATTACTTAAATAAGGGGAGAAAAAAGATTATGAGGACCAAAATGTAATGAAACACTTTTCAGGAAGGGGGGTATTTAAAGTATCAAAATCACCATTGCCTGGTGAAACTTGAATGCGTTTATAGAAATAATTGTTCAACCGCTCTCCATTTCCTCTGCTATTCAAACCTGTTTTGATGTTTTCAATTCCTTCTTCTGAGTAGCATTTTTGAAGGCAAGGGCAGTCAATAAGTAGGTATATGTGAAAACTTTTGTATTTATGTATGATTTATACAATACAATAATTATCTCCTATATTGTATGGAGAACAAAACATGCAAACAATGAATGGTTTAATTTAAATGTATCACTTTTTTCCCCTTACCATATAATGACTTTGCAATGCATTCTGGGGTATAATGTTACAGAGCAAATTCTTGAAAATGTGATATAAAATTTTTCAAAAGAAAGTTATCATTGATTTTTTTTTTTTTATATGTGATATATTCTAATGCATTCATACATAACATACTTAAACAATCTTGGATAGAAAAATTTTTTGTAATACTTTAAATATCCCAAGCAGTTCAATAGTTTTTGCTCGTTCGATTGAGTTTCGGTTTGGAGAGTAGATTTTTCCAATGTGGATTATATTACCCCAGTGGCAATGAAAATATATAAGGGCACTAACAAGATTATAGATATTTGAGGGACGATAAGGATTTTATTGGTGTCTGAAGAATGTTTAGAAATTATATAAGTACTTGAAAAGTGTGACTGGGTCACAAACAAACTAAAAATGAAATTAGTATTGAGTATGCATTAAAATACATAATTTTTTGTGTTTGGTATCAAAGAATTATTTAACCTTTCCATCTCAGCATATAATATTTGTAATTAAATCGTTTATTTAAATTGTCGTCATTAAAAAAAAAATTTTAACCTTAGCAGAAAAATAGTGTAATATTCTCTTTACGTTTTTTGTTTTGAATAATGTCATAATCTATGTATAAAATTTGAAACTTGTGTGACTTGCCGCTTCTCAAAGTTTCACTTAAGTGTCCTATCCATGCGTTTAAGATGTATGTGAGAACTTAAAATATATACATTTATGTTTACTTTCAACTCTTTTCTTTTTATTTATAAAGAAGTCTAGAATATGTTGAGTTTATTTATCTGTATTATTTATGTCATTCCCCACTGTTTAACAATTCAAAGCGATATTATCAAAATGTATCTAATTTCAAATTTCCTTTCGTTAACTTATCAAATTTAACTATGTTATTAAATTTTGAAATATGTTTTCCTCAGTATTAGGTGTGCTAAGAAACACGGGTGATAGATTGCTAGTCAATCTGATTGCACTCATAAATGACGACATTTATTTCACTTTTTTCTTTCATTAAGTATAAGGAAATGATATGTTGAATATATTTTTATGCAAGCATTTTAAAATTTTACAGAGTTATTTTCCTCAAAGTTTCTATAAAAAAAAACTTTTCCAGTATAAATACATAAATCACTAGGCATACTTAAGAAAATGTAAAAGCTTGGTTATGGTTATAAGTTACTTGTAGAAGATTATTAAAAGACATGAAATCAAAATGGGGCAAAATTTTATTAATTATTTATTTTCAATTGTTTCTGAAAGAGAAACAAGCCTGCTAGGTGAAACCGAGCAAATTTAAGGCAGAGTGTGTTTTTTTGTGGCGCCATCTATGGCCAAGAATAAGACTTTTGCCACACCAAACGTCACACCCGTTTTATAGGGCGGCCCCATTCATTCGTCCACAGATCGTAATTTTGACCTGAATGGGAGAACGATCGATCTCCAATCCAGTACCCCCAGAAGTATTGATTTGTTATGGGAACATAGAGGACTTTTGCGACTTGACAGATGCATCAGTCACTTTACTAAACGGGGAGACTTCGGCCGTTGGGGTTCGAACTCTCGGACATGGGTCCAGCGCCCTACCGACCAGGCTGTCCCGGCCTTTTCTGTTGTTGAAAGATATATAGATTTATGAAAATCTTTCATTTTCCTGATCTTAGACTATCAGCCCATTAATAGTTTATCAGTCTATAAAGTCCTAGTTTAAGTTCATAGGTTTTTATTTACTTATTTTTTGTAATTCCTTATTAAATATTTGAGCTATGCCTTGCAGTTGTTTTTAGTTTAGTTGATTGTGTATTTAATATTTGTGTAGGTGTTGATCCATCTCAAATCAACCAGCACATCTTGGTTTGCACTGCTCACATCCACTGGGATCCAGAGTACTCGGATGTGAAACTTATTCAGACGATGATGCTGATGCATGAGCTAAAGTTCTTTGTCGATGATATCCTCCAGAAAAGCAATATACCCCTTCATCAGAAAGCTGACCCCAACATCATTCCCCTTCTCTTGTGTGGAGATTTTAACTCACTTCCAGACTCAGGTATTCATCCTCACAAATCTTGTTTTAATCGTGGTTGTTAATTTGTTGACAGAAAAGTATAAATTTCTTAATATCTGTTTGCATAGTGTAGTATAGTGTTCCATAATAGCCATACTTAGTGTAAGTATGCGCGTGTGTATGCGAAGACAAAATTGACGGGGCTGTCATTATTTCATGTTAACCGAATTTTATCTTATCCGACACATCATGAAAACAATTATTTAGGTACTGCCGATAAATGTTATGCATTACAATAATATGTGTATACAATACTATTATGTACCAAACAATTTGGTAAGTTTAGAAATTCTAACTATTTTATTCATTTTGCCACCTGCTATTTCTAACAAAGGGAGAAAATAGAAGTTACATTCTTCAAAATGAATAACAGGCATTAATTCACATGTTTATTATCTGTTTCCAGTTTCCTTTAATGTTAAGCGATTATCAGCTTGAAAATTTCTTGTTAAGCATGTAAAATACGATAATAATTCATTAACTCATGGGACCATACATGTGTTTCATATCAAGCAATGTTTCACTTTAAATGATTTCACGCTAATGAGGTTCGACTTATTAAGGTAGTCTAAAGGCAGTAATGTGAAAAAGTTATCAACTATCATCATTCAAAATTTTATAACTATAAATTGATATCATCTGCCACTTCAATTGATCAATCCGAATTTAAGTCCCATTGAGACGTATCAAGTAATAGTTCTAAAATTTTATAACTGTGAATTGTTAAAAATACTGACCAATAAGTGCTACTGCAACCTAGTCATTCAAATCTATGAAATCTAAGCATTTTTTGTGAACTTTTAGCTTATTGAAATGACTGAAGATAACACTTTAGAGTTGTAAGATGTTGCATACTGCTAAAGGATGATTATTGGCAATTTTTATGCTCTACTGCTGAAAGATTTAAGATGCATATCTATTTATATGTGTGTGTTTTTAGAATCCTTCTCAAAATTAAAATAGATTTAACTTTTGACAAGAGACACAAAATAATACTTGATAGTTATTGTAGTCAATCTGCTTAGAAGACATAAAAAATCATCAAAAACCAGTTTCTTATCAGTTCCAATCAAAATTTAAATATATTTCAGTTCCATTCAACAATAAAACTGGTTTTTTTTATTTTACTGATCTTTTTCTAGCTGTATTTGACATTAATGGTTATTCAAATTATGGTCTATTCAGATCTGGCCATTTTCTTCTATCCAACTTGCATATGATTGGTAGTTGATGTGTGTTAACCAACATGCATGAAAACTATGCTGATGGGTGTAATTCTTTTCTAGAACTATATATATATATATATATATATATATAGTTCTAGAAAAGAATTACACCCATCAGCATAGTTTTCATGCATGTTGGTTAANTGATTGTTTATATATATATATATATTTAATTTCTCTTTCATATTCATAAAAAAGTACTTTGTCCTTCTCTTAACGTTTTGTTGTTAGACTACTAAAAACAAATGATTATTGTTGTTTGTAGGTGTAATAGAATACCTCTCCTCTGGCCGTGTACAAACTGATCATTGTGACTTTAAAGAGTATGTCTATAAAGATTGTTTGAGCAAACTTGGAAATTCTGCAAAAGCAAATGAATTTGCCCATCCATTTAAAATATCAAGAGCTTACGAAGATGGTATTATGCCATTCACAAATTATTCGTGAGTATTTTATTTTTTACATATTTTGCAATTCACTTCTCCCTGCTTGTATTAACACTTCCTGTTTTCAAATACACTGTAAGAGCTATGTAACATGATTCTATAAAGCGTTCAACTTAACAATCTCTAAAGTAAAAATAAAATTTATAAATTTGCCAGTTTTTAGTTGCTTGTTTATTATTTACAAAAAAATATTTCGCTCTTAATAATTTTCTGTAAATAATGAATCAGTGCATATGTTACTGTTAAGGGGTCACAGTACCCAAAAAATGACAAAAATACCAAATTTTTTTTTATTGCTTATAATAAAACTTCAAAGTATTTCAAATGTACAGAAAAAAATTCATCTCCCTATCTACATTTTTAAAAAAGTTATGAATGATTTTAAATTGTTCTAATACAGAAGCTTGCCCAGCAGTCTGACTTTAAAGTGCTTTTTCGCATAGATGATAATTTTGTGTCTTAATCTTAATTAAATCCCTAAGGATTTTTTTCTATTTAAGATAAAGCTTTGAAGTAAACTTTTTTATCTTGAGTATAATACACTTATTTAAACTGTGCATGGAATAAGCATTTTATGAAGTATTACAATTTTTACGGCTTGTTATATATACCTAACAGGAATTTTTACTCTTTTTTTTCTACTTTTTTACAAAATAATCTATAAAAAATATTCTAATTGATATATCAACAAATGAATGCACAAAATTGTTAAGATAAATATTGCAAGCACTATGAAAAAAACTTTTTTTGAAAATATGCTAAAATAAAAAAGCCTTAGGGATTTAAAAATTTACAATTTTTTCAACTTTTTTTAAAATTTACAAAAAATTAAACAGTTTAATCATTTTTTGAAGATAAATTATTGATTATAACTTAAATGAGCATGCAAAGCATCCTCAAAATGAATGATTATACCTTTATTTTAAAAAATTGTTGCAAAGGTACTGTGACCCCTTAAAGTATGAAATCCGTTATTTTATAGAATACCTAGTTATTTCATAGAATAACTAGTTAAAGTGTCAAATTAATAACATGTTACACACTTTAACGGTCGCGATCAGTTATTTCATGGAATAACTAGGTATTCTATGAAATAACTGCATTATATACTTTAACGGTAACGCATATTTTTATACTTTATTTGTATTTAAAAAATTTTTTAAAACATTTATATCATGTTCCAGGTGTATATTGTTAATTGGTAAGTTTAATGATTTGTGAAATGATCTATCTGACATAAAATTCTATATAAAATAAAGCCTCATGTTTCAAGGTTTGCGTTATAAGGATCTTCTGCTGTAAAAACATATGTTTTTATAATTGAATTTCTTATAGTGTTATTATTTCATTCTTAATATTCTACCTATTCTATGTCATTTACTTTTCAAATTGCTATCACAGATGCTTATAAAGCTCTTACATTTCCATGATAAAAAAAAAAAAGAAACTTTCTAATCTTTGACGAAGTATGCTGCTATTATAGCAATACGGTTTAATTCTTAAAAAGCAATAAAGGAAAAATTCTAACATATAATTTTTGCCAAAACCTTTCGAAATAATAAATTTGCGCTCAGAAATTATAAGTGGTTTTTTTTTTTATTTATTTATTTATTTAGGGGTGGGGAGCAAGAGATAGTTCTCTTTAAGTCCATATAAATGTACCCTGAACTTGATTCAATTTTTAAAAGAAAAAGTAAAAACAAGGTTATTAATTATAAAAAAAGGCATAATGAAAGTTATTGCTAACTTTATTTATGTTCTGTGAGTAATTATTGTGTAAAATAAAATTCTGAATACTAAATTGAAATTTACATCAATTAATTAAATTTTTTGAAGATATTCGTTAAACTTTTTTGACATTTTATATCTTTTTACTACTATTAATCGTTGTTAACCGAATACTAACTACACTGGTGGACAGAATTAAGAGATGTAAGACATTTTCCCAAATATCTCAAATACTGAATATAAATAAATGAAATTTGGTATGGATATAGCTTATTCCATGATAATAAAGTATGCAAAACTAAAAGGAAAGTGCCATTCACTGGCAAGACCTATTGCCAATAAATCCAATGTAGTCTGAACTTAAGGATAAAAAATGACAATAAAAGTGAGGCTTGTACAGTGTGTGATTCCTCTAGTATAGTGTATGGTCACCCCTGACAGACAGACAGCATTCACAACGAGTATGCATGCTGTTAATAAGGGAGTTAAGGAGGACTTGTGGAAGACCCTCCCATTCTTCCACCAGAGCAATTTTTAACTCCAGAATGGTTCTGGGGGAGGTTGGTGCATCGCAATAGCTCTCCCAAGAGCATCCTAAGCATGTTCAATAGGATTCAGATCAGGGGATTTGCCTGGCCAATCCATTCGTTGAATATCCTCGCTTTCCAGATACTCATCAGCCATGAGAACCCTATGTGGTCCATAAAATTGAACTCAGGGCAAATAGTGCCCCTGAAAAGATGCACATAGGACTCTACGACCTCCTGCCTGTACCTCTGGGCATTCACGAAACCATTGTCAAATGGAGCAGTGTGTGGGTATCTTGCATGTGCGAATGAATGTGCGGAAATGCTTTCCATCTCTTAATTTTGTCTACCAGTGTAATTTAACGTTCTTCCAAATTGTCTCGTTGTACACTGTATGCTCATAAAGTGTGTTTTCTGTTTCAGATACGACTTTAAAGGTGTCATAGATTACGTCTTCTATTCCAAACTCCATATGTCAGTGCTTGGTGTTCTTGGTCCAATTGACTCCAACTGGCTCGAAGAGAACGGCATACACGGCTGCCCTCACCCTCACGTACCCTCTGATCACTTCCCCATAGTGGTGGAACTACAACTCAACCCCACAGTCCCCATACAGCTCTCTCCTCCCAATGGCATTGTCTCACTCCACAGGTAGCATTGAATTAAATAAACAAGATCATCACTGTAACCACCATTTTGCACAATTATTTCTGTTTGGATTACTTCACTTCAAGTCAATAGCCTGGTGTAATTCTTGTCGCTTTAAGACTGACGCATTTTTTTATTATTTTTTTTCCTTCAAATGGGACTTCTTAAATGGTTGTATATAAGCTTTTAAATCTTTTCTCCTTCTTCAGCAATATTGTACAGTTCGCTGAATTTTTTTTTTAAAAAAAAGAATAAAGAACGAACTTTAAAGTTGGATGGAGATTTAATTTCATTGTAGCCCCTAAGCTTCGTTTAATGGATAGATTGTATGTTATAATAGTTGATTTAAATTTCAGTGTTATAAGAAAGTTGTCAGTTTGTTGTATATAGTTACTAATGTAGTTACGATGTTAGAAATGAGATTATTATTTTGTATAAATCTTAACAACCTAACACTTTTGACTGTATCGGGGGAATTTTTTTCCCTCCTCAAAATCACTGTTAAAAAAATTTTAATCTTGCCTGATTCTGTTTGATTTTGTAGCATGTAATTTTTTCATAATAGGTATGTTTAACAATTGTAAACTTGCATTTATTGTTTTGGCTGTGATATATTGATTATGATTGTTTTTTTTTCTTCAATCATGAACATTAGATATGCATATCATTTCACTTTAACAATCCTAATTTTAAATTTTTCTTCTTGCAAATTTTTAATCTTATTTTTTTATGTGGTACAAAATACATTATGCATATCTGTTACAGTATTTTTGTTGATATTCCATTGCCTTTTTTTTTTTTTTATCTTTCTTAAATTTTCTAGTATTAAACTTAGTGTTTATAAATTGTATTATAGTTGTGTAATTTTCAAAAAAAATCGTATAACTTTTTTTTTTATAGTGACATTTTTGTTAAATAAAATTTACTTTTTTCAGAATTTTGTGCTTGTGTTTTACTGTGTATGGTAATATTTCAATCTTAAATTTGATCATAAGTGTTAACTTTAATTGCATTGTGAATTTTCATAATATTTTCTTATTACAATTTTTATTAAGGAATTCTAATTCAGCGTAACTGTATGTGGTCAAATGTACACATCTATTTATTCATATTGCTACTTCTCAAATTTAAAATAATATAAAGTCTTATTTTTTATTGCTTGTCACTGTTTGTTAATATTTTAGATTATTATGTAAAAATTTGTTCACTGACACTCAAGAAATAACTAAGCAAACTTCACCATGCAAATTATTTATCACTAACATGATAGTAACATAAGTTTTACCTGTGAAATTACACAATTTTACAAACTTTTTGTACTTTTAATGTTGCAGTATCAGTATTTAAATCTTATTACATATAATAAGATAAATAATCTTTATCAAAAATGTGGCATCTTGATTTTAACTTCAACTAAAAATAATACAACTGTTTACATATAATTGGTGTTGAAACTCATTATTTTTAATCATTGGCTACTTAAAGTTTATTAAGTTTTAATCATAAAATTGAAACAAAACAAAAATTAGTCATTTACTGGGCCTCTTTTTTTTAAAGCTCGAATTCAATCAGTTTTTTATTATTACTATTGTTAATTTTTTTAAAAAAATATTCTTAGGATTTATTTAAACTACTCATGAAATTATTTGCTCTGCTTAATCTTTTTTAGAAAAAGTATATATACTGAGATTTTTTGCTCTATGGGGTTTCTTTTTTCATCAACCTCTGAACATCCAATATCTTTCTAAAATAAATTCTCAACATAAAATTTATTTTAGTGTAGCTGTGTGTTTACATCAACTCTAATTCTCTCTAGAATAAAACAATTCAGCAAATTTTTGGATGTTCAGAAGAAAATTTGTAAATTTACAAACGACTTTCTTTCAGGGGGTTTAATATTCAAATTTCATTTTCAATTTTATATATTTTTTAAAAAAATGCATGGATACTTTATGGAGGATATGACTGACAAAGAACAAGCTGTATTTTATGTTCTCTTTCTCTAATATTTCTATGTGTTCTTGATATACTGTAAAGCAAAAAACTAGTTATAGATTTTATCTCTATTATAAAGCCTTCTGTGATTTTATTTTGTTAGAGAAGGTACTGTTATACTTAATTCATAGTATTGTGTTCATCCTTTTTCTAGAAAATTTTCAGTGATGAAATCTATCATAGATTTTCAATTTTTTTCTTTAATGTGTAAAACGTTGAAAAGGAAAATGGGACATTCTGCATAAAACATTCCTTTCTTCCTTCTGGTTCACTGAATAACTCTCTGGTTCACTGAATAATAACTAAAGTATTTAAATTTAAAACATCGCATAACTTTTAGTTTTATCCAAAACTTGGTAGTTTTTAAAATATTTAATATTTTCAGGTTTATGTTCAAATCATAAATTAATATTGTACCAAAATTATTAGATTCCATCAGAAAGTGGCTTCTTATAAATCAATTTAAAACATATGTTAATTTCCTAAATTGTAGTTAATTTTACATAAATTTAATATTTTAAAATTTACATTCAAAAAATAAGATTAATGCAATATTGAACGTCGAATATAGCAAGATATTTCTCACAACTTTATAATTCAAAATTTAATATCAGTTTCTTATTCTCATCTGATTTCCTTTAAAACTTTTGAATACTGGTGTTTAAATTATTGTCATCTTAGGGTTTAGTACATTTCTCAAAGTTTAGGTTAATATTTTCAACTCAAAAAACTCGATGGTACATCTGGTTTTGGTGTCATGCAATTTAATTAATGAATTTTTTCAGTTTATTTAGTTTTTGTTTTCTTCCTAGTTCTGTGATTGCTTTCATCTCTGAATTTTTCTAGACATTCTCATTTGATGTGTAATTATTGCTTTCGTTCCTGAAATCAAGGTCAAATCTTTGGGGGAATATTTTGACCTTGAAGTTACCTATAACTTGGAACGGCAATTCTAGATTTGTTTTATGCATGACTTCATTTTCATTCAGGGTTTGGGTGACCCTAGAATGTGACGACATTTTGAATGGTATAAATATTTGGTTGCTGTAATGGTTTTTTTTTCTGCTCATCCTAACATTAGACCTAACCATTGTCCTTCGGTCTTTTATATGTGTTACATTTTTAAATGTGACCCCTTTTATAGTGTTAGGTATTTTGATGAAAGTATTGAAATTCAAAATTGTTTTGGGTTCTTTTTTTGTACAATTAGTTTTTAATTAATTTTTATAATGTATATGTGTTTATAAATCAATTTTAATCGTACTGTGGGTTTTTGTGTCTTCTGTGTTTTTAATTTTTATTGATAGTTCTGTAATTCTGACTTGCAACCAAAATAGTTGTATGTTGTTTTGTTCCTATTTGAATAACTTAAAAAATTTTCTTAGTTGTTTTATTTTTTCCAATTCACTCATCTTTTTTTATAAAAGAAAACCATTCTCATATTCTGTATAGAAATTTATCTGTACATTTTTCAAAAAAGTAGTTCATGTATTAAATTCTGATAAATGTGGACAATAATAAAAAAAGAAAACTTTTTTGTGTATATGTGTGTGTTTTTCTACTTTGAAATTTGTTTCTGAGTAATATAGACATTACTTAATAGCAGTTTAAATTTAATGCTTTGCAGGAATGAAATTGGGATATTCTTTAACCCTTTCGTTCAGGAATTTTTCATTTATGTTATAAAAAATATTTAGGTATACTACAAAAGCAAACTCATTTAGTATCTCAAGCAGGGTTGGCAAGTTTTTGACACATGACAGTTTTTACCGGTTTATACGAGGGGTGCTATTTATATTTCTGGCCTAATAATGAAAAAACAACTATGTAGGATCGAAATTGGTTTTATTGCTTTTCATAATATTCTCCATGATGATCAATACACTTTGCATGCGTTTGAACCAATTTTCAAAGCACTTTTTCCAGTCCGATTGAGGTAACTCCAAAACATGCGTTTTGAATGCATCAACCGCTTCTTCGGGGGTCGAAAATCGTTGTCCACGTAATTTATTTTTGATGTGTGGGAATAAGAAGAAGTCATTGGGTGCCAAATCAGGGCTGTACGGCGGATGACCCATCAGTTNTATGAATGTATATCCTTCTATAAGAATACATGTATATAGTTGCAAAATCAATAGCAATCATTTACAACATTCATTTATAAAGGCAATAATGTGAAAATAATATATTGTCCGCTATATGCCATAAATTAAAGAAAACAGTAGGTTTTTACCGGTAAAAACACGGTTTTTACCACTGTCATGTCAAAAACCAGTTTTTGACGGCAAAAACCCAACCCTGATCTCAAGAGTGTGGTGTAATATTTTATTTTTTGACCTCTTTGTCCAAGTGAGGACTTACGCTTTTGTGGTATATTTCACCAATATAGTTTCAGTCATGGAAAAGCTGAATATTCTAACTTCTCTTTATAAGAGGATAAAAAACAATACCAACTTTTCCTATAATGTAATATACCCTCCAAAAACAAATAACGTTAGTCCTGGTGCATGAGTCTACTTTTCAAGATCCCAAATTTTACGAAAATCTAGGCATTGACTTCTGGTGATAAAGTCTATATAGCATTGAAATAGATTTAATAAGAATAACTCTAATACCTTTCAAAAACTATTTTTCTATACAATAACTATTTTTCTAACAAAAACTATATATCTATACAATTTTCTCTCCGCAGATTTTGTTTTGCATATAAAGGTTTTTTTTTAGAACCAATACTTAAAATTATGTTTAGAAAAAAAATTTGGAATAAAAAAAGTTAAGGTAAGTTTTGGAATATTTCATCATTTTTAACTTAAAATTTGGAAGACTTTTTAATTTTAGAAATTTTAATGTCTGGTTTTTTGAGCGGTCAACATACAAGAAATTTGCTATCTCCTAATCGAAAATAGGGGGTTGACTTATTTACTAAAATGTGCGGCAAACAAAATATCAGATTTCTACTTCTTTCTTGAATCCTTCATCGGCTTCCAAAGAGATCATATTCCTTTAGAGTCTCCAAATGAGGACCAAGGATCTTTATAGAATCAAAACTATTACTCTCCTCGACTTGGTTTTGTTTTCTATTTAGTGTAAAAAATGCGTAGGAAACCATTTCTCACTTGACTTGCCTAGACTAAATGTTTCCACCCTTAGACTTCCATATTTGGCAAATTCGATATGTTGGCTAGAAGGAAAGCAAACTTCGGATTTCGACATTAGGCCTAAACCAAAACTTTCAATATAATTTTCAGCAATTATATTTGTATTTAAACTACCTTAAGAACTGTACAGTGTGGTCCTGTTAAAAGTAGATGTGTTTGAAATCCGATCAACGCAGTAGAATACTGTGAAATAAAAAGGATATTTTAATGAATATAGCAACGATTGGGATTAACTTAATTTTTTTTTTATCTTATTGTACATATTTTAACATGTATCATTTTATGTCAAATTGTATCATTTTAGCATGCTACAAATACAAAAATTTAAAAAATTAGCACTTTTATAATACAATGTTAATTAACTTATTTTTTAAATTATCCGTAACTTTTGCTGTACTCAAAAAAAAATCAGAAATAGGCGGTGTAGTGAAAAAAAATTCAAAAGATGACATAAAATAAGTTACATTTACTTGGATTGTTCAAAACCTGTCAACTCAATTACTTGTAACGAAAAGCATATTCATTGTGAATATTGTGTCAAAATTTAAAGTAAATCGGTTGAAAAATATACTAATTCGAAATACAAATAATAAAAGAAACATAGTTTCGATTAAGTTACGTTTAAAGTTCTCTGATCAAAAGTCCATATAAATATATAAAATTTTGCAACTAACTATGATGCATATGCATCATTATCAGGTCCAGAAGATGTTTTTTCTCCATCATTGTCAGCAGTTTCAAGTTACTAGTGTGTCTAGCCCTTTTTCTTTTCGATCTACTAACTCGTGACGAATCATATGTTTTTGGAGCAGCAGCCAATTGTCTGCGGTCATCTTCAATTTGGCTGCTTGGCCTACATTTATTTCTAATTATTCCATAACTATCAATATCTCTTTGTTACCTTCTTTAACACGTTGAATGCCACGCTAATTTTACATGCCTTTATCGTCCGACCACACGGTAAATAACTACAAACTTAATTTGCAAATATACGCAGATTTTGTTAGTTTGTAAAAGGTTTAGCATGACATATCTGAAAAAAGTGGTGAATTATATATGTCTACCAATTGTTTACAAATAGTGGTGGATAAAAATCTACTAAATTGAATTTATTAAACCAAGAATCACAATAATTAAGCAAATTTTGAATAAATTTTCTGCAATTCCATAAAAGAGTGTAAATTTTATAGTTCTATATCATGTTATACGCTGTCAGCCAGCTGTTTTTCGCGGCCTATGTGAAAGGTCAGCAAGCGGTGGTTGACGCAACCTAAATATAATTTCAGTGTCAGCCACCGGTAGTTGACGCAGCCTAAATGTAGTTTCAGTGTCAGCCACCGGTGGTTAACGCAGCCTAAATGGAAAGTCCAGTGTCAGCCACCGATGGCTGACGCGGCGCTCAACGTGTTAAGAACTATCACAGCTAAATAAGTTCCGATTTCAACGATTTATAATGAAAGAACCATTAATTCTTTTTCTTATATAATTTGAAAAAAAAATTCTATAGAATAGTTTTAAAAAAATAAAATAGTTTTCAATAGAATAGTATTTTGTCAAAATGTTTTTTATAAGTGTGAGCGAATCCATTAATCAGCTGAGCACACAAGTTCACATGATTATGCATGTTACAGCACATCGCGCTCGCTGTATTGTGCTGAAACTTAAACATTTTTACGATGAACATTATAATAACTTGATATTTTCTTAAAAGGATGAATTATCGAAAAATGCAATAAATTTTTTTAAAAAAGGGAAGCACTCAAATGATGATTATCAATCAAAAGTGATTGAAATTCACTAAAGTTCGAGTTGAAACGATCTACCCAAATGATACTGATGATGAACAAAAAATTAGTTAATTCACTCAAACTCGAGTTAAATCGATGCACTCTAACTAAACTTGTGTTATTTCAGTTGACTCGAGTGAATTTAACTCAAAACGAAAAATCAAATGAATAAAATTTGACTTAAGTTGAATTATTTTAAGCGAGTATACGGAATGATTTTACCTGCATTTTAGCGCTAAAGCATAGCATTTACATTTTCTTGCGTTTTACATTTTATGTAACATTTTAGGAATCATATTCATGCAGTAACGTGTTTTCAAATTTTCACCTAGAAATGAGATTATTTGAATTTTGTCCTACATTATGGAAAAACTTATCACTCACAAGCAAAAATTGCATACAATAAGTAAGTAATTTAAAAGCAAGGGAGAAAAAAAATACAAATCTCGTTTCTACGTAAAATTTGCAAGCCACACGCGACTACTAAAAAGGGAAATATGACTGCTGAATCTTTTATGAAATGTAAAAGAGCAAATTGCTATATTTTCAATGTAAATGCGATGCCAGCATAAAAATGCAAGTAATATTATACTTTTCCAAACTAGCTTTGTCTGTTTCCCCCTCCAAAAAAAAATTTTTCGATCATTTATTTTTCTTTCATCAAATTTTCACAGATTAAATATTATTTACAGAAAATTCGATCAAATTGAGAACAGATATTTTCTCGTTATCGTACTTTAAATATATCGACTTTTGATTATGTCCTGTCTGCTCATATCGGTATAATAAAGAAACAAATTAAAATTTCAAAGCAAATAGTGAATACCGCATTACTTATTTGAGACAAGTAAGTTACGAATATCAAAAAATTTTTTAAAATTTTATTCGAAAATAAAGATCTTAGGGTGAAACAAGCATTTAAAAAAGCGCTACTAACATTGTATTCAACGAAAATTTACATATATATATATACATATATACCGGTGCCACATTTGTATCGAAGAGTGGCAACTTAACTTGAGTGTCAGGTGTTTTAAAATTCGATAAAATGACGGAAGTACCAAGAACGCTCCTAAATATTTATCCTTGTGAGACAATATTTATGTTTGCGTGAATTCTGAAACGAAGGATAATGTTGAGCTTTAAAATGTCCTAGTCTTATTACAGTTTAGTTTTGTAATGAGCTTTTATACTTTTCTAGGAATGATTTTTTTTCCCCAGGAGTACCCGGGAAATTGAAAAAAAGAAGAAGAAAAAACTATCTTGTTTTTGGAAGTCTGTCTACGAAAATTTATTAATAGTTATTACGTATATACGAGACTATTTAAGACCTGGGGGAAAATGAATATAGTAGATCATTTATAATTACAAATAGCAACAGCTTTCATTTTAGTTTTCAAAAAATCGTGGGATGAAAAGGTTATACTTAAGTTTCTTCACTTTCGGGGTAATTTTTTTCTTTTTAAAAAACACATTTTAGAATTATTTTAACCATCACAAAATAAAAGTATATAAAATATGTGCTTCTAACAAATCTGAAAATGATCACATGAAGAATCTTGTACTGTTGATCATTTTTATAATTTCAAATTACTTTCGGAACTATCAAATTTTTAAAATTTTTGATGGAATCTCGAATATGTAATTAAAAAATCTGATTCTTTTTTGTCTTTTTTACTGAACCAAAGTCATGCTTTCTCCTTTTATTAAAAGAAATAGTGGCGACTATTTAATTTAGTAGCTTGATTTTAATATATAAATAGAATTACATATAGACATATGAACATAGACATATGCCATGGAACATTCTACAACCGTCGTTGAACAGCCGACCCAATTTTGGGTTTACTTCTACTAATATTCAACTCCGTAGCCTTGCAATTTTAAAGCAAATCAATGAAATGATATGGGAAGCAAGTATTGGGAGCAATTTGGCTTAGCAGAGGACTTTTTGATGAACTAACCTACATTTATGTTACATGGAGAGAAAAACCACGAAAACCTCCAAAGTTAGCATTGCGGCAAGGAGACTCTAACCCATGATCCGACCACTACTGAGAATATTTTATGTCGGCACTTTCGTCTGTGCGAGCCGGGTGTTGAATTCTTATCGACCAGCCATCGTGGGGATTCGGACCCGGTTCACCTCATTGGAAGACGAACACTCTATCCCCTGAGACATGGCTTCTGCCTTGAAACATTGATAAAATTTTTAGCACTGTATCAGTTTACAAACAAATCTTTCAATTTAATAGGACACAGTGCTAAGAAAGCAACTGGCATAACGGCGTAATAAATTGAATGTGATTTTGGTTGGAGATTTCCATCTTTATTCGAATCAGTGATTCGAATAAAGTGACTTGGAATGATCTGAATTTCTGATCCGAATCACTTAAATCGAATCTAGTGATTCAATTCACTTCTCGGAACAAGTAGTTCGTATCAGTGCTTTAGATCATTGTTATGAATCAAGTGATTCGAATGAGTGAATCAAATCACGCGATTCGAATTACCATTTGCATCAGTAATTCATATCAGTGGTTCGCTTGTGATTCATATCACTGATTCGAATTATTCGGATTAGTGATTCAAATCGCATTTTTGATCAATGTTTAGGATGAGTGATTAAAGTTATAAGATTCCAATCAGAAATTTTTAATCAAATGTAAATAAATTTTTTTTATGCTTTAAGTTATTAATTTATATATATATTTATCTGTATTGATGAACCATAATAAAACATCACCTAAACAATTATTTTTTATACCCATATAATCATCTTTTAACAGCCTTCAAATTTTTGGGCTGACTGCTCAACCAGTGTCAATATTCGAATCGATAATTTGAACCCAACGCAGAAGACAGGGGAACTTAGTATTTTAAGACAGTCTTCGTGGAGTACTTCCTAATCGAAATTAGCCGCATTTGCATTACTCGGGGAGAAAGAAACCATAAAAACCACTCACGAATAGCCCGATATGGCAAAGAAATTCTAACTCATGATGCGCACGCGATTGACGATATTTTACACCAGGAGTAGAATCAAAGAATTATTTAAGAGCCTTGATTCACATCTGGGTCACCTCATTGGAAGGCGAGCGCCCTGCCAATGCGGATTCACGGTACTCTTAAACTATTATTGACGCCTGGAGTGTGTTACCTAATTATGATCATAAGTTATTGTTGTTGTTGTCGTGCCCATGAATAAGGATTGTTCTCTAGCTGCCATTAGAGGTGCGGCTGACTGCTCTGGCGCCTCGAAGCTATGTAAGATCTCCTAAAGTGGCAGCATACCGAACCTTAAGACTTTAGCAGTGAAAATTGGGCATTCAAAGATATGCTTTGGTTGTAGTTGGGAATCTGGGCAGTTCTTACAGTTGATATATGATCTTGTATTATCGAGATTTTCACACCCTTATAATGTTTTGTTCTTAGTCTTTTTAATGCAGATGTAATATCTCTAGGACAATCGAAGTCTGAGAACAATGGTTTCCTGGTGGACCTGCAAATATGTTAGTATTAAATAAGCAAATTCGGATTAAGAAGCTCTTCGAAAGGAACAGCGAAAACAATTCTAGGGGTTGGCAAATGCTGCGAGTGCTATTCGTGTCAAAATAAGAATAATTTTGAATCAATCTTTCAACATAAGGATAAATGAAGGGAATAATTCTAATAAATATGTCTCTTTTTTATGAAAGTCGATAACGGGATATTAATGCTTATCCATGTATTTTAGAAAAAGTGGTAAAAAAAATATTTCCAATTAATTTTTATTATGGATTTTTAGATCGTTTTTATCAATTTCATTGCTAATTACTGAATCAAATCAATATAAGATTCAAATCAGTGATTCAACAAGTGATTCAAATCAATAAGAGATTCGAATAAGTAAGTGATTCGAATCACTTAGGTGATTCGTTTTGCCTAACTCTCTTTGACTCTATGAGTGTTTTGAAACAAATTGGAGTTTACTTGCTTAATATGATATCAGTTACGAATGGATTCCGCATTGTAAAAGATATTGTAGACATTGTAAAAGATATAAAAAATTCTTAAAATATCCATTCTCATGTCATCGATGTTACCAGTCAGCAAAAATAATTTTAAAAAAATTAGTAACATTTATAACTTTAAAAGTGTTTGTCTATCCTGTTTTTTTTATCGTTATATGAAAAGTTATCCTCCATAGTATTACTCCAATGTTTTCTAAAGTGTGATACGCGTACCCCCAGGGATACGGGAAAAGTACATCGGGGATACGCGCTCTTATGGGAAATGTCTTGCAACAAACGAAAATTTCAAAAAATTTTATTTAAAAACAAAGCTAGTCATGAAAATTTACGATTACATATTTTTCTATTGGCTATTTTTTGCCGAGTTAACAGTTAATAATTAGTGGTGTCAACAGCCAGTTGTGATTCTAAACTTTTGGGCAATTTTTTTTATCACAGCACAGCTGTTATCACAGCAAAAACAATATCACCCTTCTCACTGATGCAAATAAACTTATTAACAAAATTGTAAGACCAAAAAAGAAAAATAAACAAATTTTTAAAAAAATATATTCATTTTTTTATTGGTGGTACACAGCGCTACGAAAANTTCATTTTATTTTATATCCGTCGTTCAACAGCCGACCCAATTTTTTGGATTTACGACTACTAATGTTCAACTCCTAACCACTGAGCCACTTCATTTCATTTTATTTTATATCCGTCGTTCAAGAGCCGACCCAATTTTTTGGATTTACGACTACTAATGTTCAACTCCTAACTACTGAGCCTCTTCACCATTTCATTTTATTTTATATCCGTCGTTCAACAGCCGACCCAATTTTTTGGATTTACGACTACTAATGTTCAACTCCTAACCACTGAGCCACTTCATTTCATTTTATTTTATATCCGTCGTTCAAGAGCCGACCCAATTTTTTGAGTTTACTACTACTACTAATGTTCAACTCCGTAGCCTTGCAATTTTGAAGCCAATCAATGAAAAAAACAAGGGAAATACTGGATCAAGTATTGGTAGAAATTTGCCTTAGCGGAGGGCTTTGTGATAAACTAACCCACAGTTGCGTTAAATGAAGAGGAAAACCACGAAATCCCCTACGGTTAATCTGACGGCAAGGAGACTCTAACTGAGGGTATTTTATGTCAGCACTGACGTCTGTGCAAGCCAGGTGAGGAATTCTTATCGACCAGCCATCGTTGGGATTCGAACCCGGTTAACCTCATTGGAAGACGAACACTCTATCCCCTGAGCCACCACGGCTTCTGCCATGAAACATTGATATAATTTTTACACTGTATCAGTTCACAAACAACTCTTCCAGTTTCATAGGGCGTAGGGTCTAGAAAGAAACTAGCATAACTGTGTAATAAATTGAATGTGATTTTGGCCGGAGATTCCCCCCGTGTTGGCGGTAAAGCGTGGTACTGATTTGAATCACCAATTTGCACCTGGTTTGAAGCGTTTAATCTTGAATCACTTAACGTGAATCAGTGATCCGAATGACTTGATGAAATTTTTGAGCCGACTGCTCAATGAGTGTCAATATTCGAATCTATAATTTGGAACCTAACTCAGAAGACAGAGAAACTTTGTGCATTAAGACAGTCTACGTGGGGTACTTCCTAATCGAAATTAGCCGCATTTGCATTACTCGGGGAAAGAGAAACCGTGGAAACCACTCACGACTAGCCCGATATGACAAACAAGTTATAACTCATCATGCGTCTGCCATTGACCATATTTTACGTCAGGAGTAGAATCAAAGAATTATTAAGATCCTTGATTCGAATCTGGGTCATCTCATTGGAAGGCGAGCACCTTGCCCCTGGAGCCAATGCGGATTCACGGTTCTCTAAACCAGTCATGTCAAAGATACGGCCCGCGGGCCGCATCCGGCCCCCACTTCGTATCAATACGGCCCGCGATCGCGATATGTCACAGAAAGAAGAATCGTGTTTTTTAGAGCTTTTAGACTTCACTCGATTCCTCTACTGAAGTTTTAAAATGTGCACACTACATTTATAAGTAATTTCAAGGGCAGCGCGTGCCTAAACAAGCGAGAGAGATAGACAGTAACGACATTTCTTAGCAACAAGCGGAATCTTCCACTAGAATATACTTAGCAGCACAACTACGGATGGCGCTCCTGCCATGGCTGGCTATCATTCGGGCGTTGTAACTAAATTGAAATAGAAAACATCAGGGAATTTTGTGGGATTTCCCTGTATAATTCATCAGGAATCATTGGCATCCAAGCATTTAAAAATGGACCATATCATGCTACCTATAATTAAAATAGTAAATTTTATAAGGAGCAGAGGACTAAATCACCGACAGTTCAGGCAGTTTTTACAAGATTTGGACGAAAATTTTTTTGATGTCCCTTATTTCCCTGAAGTTCGTTGGCTCAGTCCAGGAGTTGTTTTAGAGAGATTTTTTGCATTACGTGACCCTATTCAAGCTTTCATGTAAGAAAAAAGCAACCCAATTGATTATGACAATGACTGGTGGATTGATTGCGTCTTTTTGGTAGATATGAATTAACACTTGACTGATCTGAATGTAAAGTTACAGGGTAAAAATCTGATTGTCACTCAAATGTATTCATGTATTCAAGCCTTTGAAGCAAAGTTGAGGCTGTGGGAAAATCAGGTAAAAAATCAAACTTTGGATCATTTCCCTCATTTAAAATCATTTGGCACAGTGAACCAAAAAAAAAAATTGGATCAGTATTCTCAACTGCTTCAAAATCTGATCACGGAATTCAACTATCGTTTCGAAGACTTCCACAAAATGAATGAAACGGAATTTCCAATTTTCAACAATCCATTCAATTTTGAAGCTTCACAGGCACCAGTTCATCTGCAAATGGAGTTGATAAATCTTCAATCGGACAGTATTTTGAAAGAAAAATTTAAAGAGGTTAACGTTCTTACGTTTTATACACAATATCTCAAGAGTTTGGATAACTACGCGGAATTAAAAAAGCATGCAGCACGCATTCTGAAAACAAGAGAAGTCAGGTATCTGGATTCTCGAACTCAAAATAATTACCATCTTTTATAACTTTGATATGATTTTTAACAACCGTATATTATATACCATATAATTAGATAAATAAAATGTTATAATGGTTCAGTAAATTTTTTTTATTTGAATCTGGCCCGCCTACACATTCTAAATTTAATATATGGCCCTCTGCAAAATTGAGTTTGACACCTCTGCTCTAAACTGTTATTGAAGCCAGGAATGTTTACCTAATTGTGATCATAAGTTGTTGTTGACGTGTCCATGAATGAAGGTTGTTCTCTAGCTGCCATTACAGGAGCGGTTGATTGCTCTGGCCCCTAGAAGCTGCGTAAGATCTCCTGAAGTGGCAGCATACGAAACCTTTAAGCAGTGAAAATTGGGCATTCAAAGATATATTTTGGTATTAGTTGGGCATCTGGGCAGTTCTTGCAGTTGATATATGATCTTGTATTATCGAGATGGGATTTTCATGCTCGTATAATGTTTTGTTCTTTTTAATGTAGATGTAACATCTCTGGGACAATCGAAGTCTGAGAACAATAGTTTCCTGGTGGACCTGTAAATATGTTAGTATTAAATAAGCAAATTCGGATTGAGAAGCTCTTCAAAAGGAACAGCGAAAACAGTTCTGGGGGTTGGTGAGTGCTGCGAGTAGGGTTTAATCTTAATTCTTGTTATTTTCAAACTAATCTTAACATTTTTGACTTTTTATTCGTGTCAAAATTAGAATAATTTTGAATCAATCTTTCAACATAAAGATAAATGCTGGGAATAGTTCTAATAAATATGTTATTTTTATGAAAGTCGATAACGTGACATTAATGCTTTATCCATGTATTTTAGGGAAAATGACTAAAAAAAATATTTTTTCAATTAATTTTATTATAGATACATCATTTTTAGATCATTTTTATCAAATTCATTACTAATTACTGAATCAAATCAGTATAAGATTCAAATCAGCGATTCCACAAGTGATTCGAACCAATAAGAGATTCGAATAAGTAAGTGATTCGAATCACTTTGATGATTCGCTTTGCCTTAACTCTCTTTGACATTATGAGTGTTTTGAAACAAATTGGAGTTTACTTGCTTAATATGATATCAGTTACGAATGGATTCCGCATTGTAAAAGATATTGTAGACATTGTAAAAGATATAAAAAATTCTTAAAATATCCATTCTCATGTCATCGATGTTACCAGTCAGCAAAAATAATTTTAAAAAAATTAGTAACATTTATAACTTTAAAAGTGTTTGTCTATCCTGTTTTTTTTATCGTTATATGAAAAGTTATCCTCCATAGTATTACTCCAATGTTTTCTAAAGTGTGATACGCGTACCCCCAGGGATACGGGAAAAGTACATCGGGGATACGCGCTCTTATGGGAAATGTCTTGCAACAAACGAAAATTTCAAAAAATTTTATTTAAAAACAAAGCTAGTCATGAAAATTTACGATTACATATTTTTCTATTGGCTATTTTTTGCCGAGTTAACAGTTAATAATTAGTGGTGTCAACAGCCAGTTGTGATTCTTAACTTTTGGGCAATTTTTTTTATCACAGCACAGCTGTTATCACAGCAAAAACAATATCACCCTTCTCACTGATGCAAATAAACTTATTAACAAAATTGTAAGACCAAAAAAGAAAAATAAACAAATTTTTAAAAAAATATATTCATTTTTTTATTGGTGGTACACAGCGCTACGAAAAATTTAGAAAGGGTACACAAAAATCGTAAGTTTGGGAAACACTGTGTTACTCTAACAACCAGTTTTCCTCAAAGAAAAAATTAAATTACTTAAAAATGATAATAGAAAAGAACTAATAAAAATATGAGGCTAAAAAATTATTTTACGAACGATGTTGCAATGGAATAAAATGTTTTTCAAATGTTGAAATATCACTTCGGCTAATGGCATTAGGAGTGTCTTAAATAGTTTCATAAAAGAAACGTTTTTGTCTTCATTTTTTCTTCATTTTCTCGTGTTGATGATGTTGTAGGGTGTCGCAATAATTGTAAAATCTGCTACTGCCTTAAATTACTCCACGAGTTTCGGAAATCAGTGTCTGATAGTTAGTTAAAATCGTCAGAAAAATTAAGGAGGAACAACCCATCATTACTTTAATACTTTTTCCGTGGTTTCAGGGGTTAATGATTTCTTAGAGTATTTATTCTTATTGTTACAATAGAATCCTGCTATTGAAACATAAAACAGTCGTGAGTTTAGAAAATTCGAAATGAAAACGTAAAAATGTCAATTTTTTTTATAGTTTAATATTTTATCTTTCAAAAGAATCTAATACCATGATTTAAAACTTAGACGAAGAGTGGTGCATTTTTTTTTTATTCCGTTGCGAATAATAAAATATTTTTGCTATATTTTTTCACTACGTTTACTACGTAGCTGAAAATTAACTGACTACGTAGCTGAAAATTAAAATAAAAATAAAATATTAATTATAAATCAACATATCGCTACTTCAAAACTAAAACGACACATCTGCAGGCATAATACGTTTGCAGATGTGTCGTTTTAGTTTTGAACCAGCGATATATTCATTAACATTATTCTTAACATATANGAAAATTAAAATAAAAATAGAATATTAATTATAAATCAACATTACATTACATTATTCTTAACATATATTCACAATATTCATCAATACAAATATTCATTTATAAATCTAAATCAACATTATAAATCATGCTATTATAAATCAACAGTTTTACTTTTAAAAATAAAAATTCAATACAAAGATAAGAAAGTTTTGGTCGGTATATCCTTCTTCGAATAAATATTTTGGATTTTGAGAACTATCATATTGATGCCATTTTTTGCTTTGTTTCCAGAATATATTTTCCAGAAGTAGCAAATTTTACATTTAGCCCATTCCAGGCCAATGTTGCGAATACGTAACATTTTGAAGCAATGCAAAACGTACCCTTATTAAATAAGTAAAAGGTTAAATATTTAAAGAGTCCGAACATCCAAAATATTTAAAATAATAACAAGTTATACGCTTTATTAATTCATTTTTGATTTGAAAAAGTTTCATAACCACAATCATTTCAACTTACATTACATGCAAACAAACTAATCATACAATAACGCATGCATAAGACTTGATAATCGTGTAGTGAAATTTTTAAGTGTTATGAAGATTAAACAAATTCTTTTTCCTTTAGTTAGCTCACTATCACTTAAAATATTTTGGGTACTAAGTTGGCATCTCTGCTTAGGCTCATTTGTTACTTTCTAGTATTCTACCATTTTAAATTTAAAATATCGCGTTGAAATTGTTTAAAATTACAACATGAATACTTAAATTAAGATTTTCAGGGCAAAAAACGCTTAAAAACTGCACTCTTTCCTATGAAAAGCAACACTGCCCCACGAAAACGAGTGATCTTGACTCCGTATGTCAGTATGTGTTCGCGATATCCATATCTAGGCAGCAATATGCTAATAGATGGTGTTTTCAATAGAAATCTAAACAATAACAATCTCGACCTCGGGACCTACTCTAGTTCCGGTTAAAAAGTTTGCAGCTGCTTACTACATGTTATTCTGATAGGCGATGTTTTCAAACGGATAATCTTGTTTTCAATAAAAGAAATAAACTAGATAATTTCTGAGCTCAAATCTGCCGTATTTCATAAGATATTAATGTTATTATGTAATTCTGGGGAGTTTGGAGTGAAAATTTGTTTTAGTTATTTTGTTATTTATTATTAAAAAAGGTGACATGGTTGCTAGATTTTGAATAACTCGCTTTTTTGGCAGTCTTGATTTGGCCTCTTTCCATTTGTTTATTACTGTTT